AAGAGGCTGCTCACCATGCCTACCACCACCTAGTGAGCTACCCGTGGATGGCATTTCATGCATGTTTTAGGTCAGTCACAGAGGCCTGTAAACCACAAAGTCAACCGACAGCTGCACTTATGTGGTACATACAGGCATCCCGCTGGCTCTGGGGATGGCCCACTCTGCTGTCACTTTTCACTTGCACAGGTGGTGCTCACTCTAGACAGCAAGGATGAAGGGATTCACTTAGACCATCGCCCCAGACTTGGGCTCCCTGCACATTCTGCTTGGTTTCCATTTTCCCTTCTGGGCAAGGTCCGTGAACCAGGGGGCCCCGGAAGAGTTTTCAGTGGCCTGTCTGAGAACTGCTTCTTTATCTGATACTGGAAGCCTTTGCCCTCATCAAGTAAGGAGCAACCAGGGAGGGGGGGAAAGGGAGGCAGAGCCAATGGAGGAACCAGGGGACAAGGCAAAGCAGGGTAGGGGCAGAGGACGAAACTTAACAAGACCACGATGACGTTTTCTCTAAAAGTTCTAATTGAACTTATTGATTTATTTACCTGTGTGTGTGTAACAGACTCACACCATTGCATACACCATTGCAAATCTTTCAGGAAATGGTTTTCTCTGTCCATCATATGCGCTGACCCCCGGGATGGAACTTAGGTGATCAGGGTTTGTGGCAAGTGCCTTTATCTGCAGATTCATCTTGCCGGCCCCATAAGGGTGTTTTCTCTGAGTCTCCACTCTCTTGGGATGAGGGGAAAACAGGAAGCCAAGAAGAGGCTAATCGTATCAGGTACGTTGGTGGGGTGGGAACAATCGTAGCCACAAATATTCCTTCTAAGTCAGTAGTGCTCTACGTGGGACTGAGGAAGGGTTCTGCTCTGCAAGGCTGAAGCCCCCAGCACCCAGATGGCACCCTCAGTATCCACATGCACAGGCACAGCCCCAGTCAAGAAGAGCTCCCAACTAGAGAAGCAGGGCCTAGACTTAGGCCCTAAGCAGCTGTGGGTGGTCCTTGGCAGATAATGTGTTCAGGCCTGGGGATGCTTAGGAAGTAACACAAATATAGTGAACTTGGAAGACAGTGAAGGCACTTGAGCCCCTTTATTTCATTGCATTATTTCATTTTTGTCTTTTTGAGGCAAGTTCTCATGTAGCCCAGGCTTCCCTTGAATTTGCTGTAGATACAACAATGAGTTTCTTTTTTTTTTTTTTTTTTTTTCGAGACAGGGTTTCTCTGTGTAGCTTTGCGCCTTTCCTGAAACTCGCTTTGGAGACCAGGCTGGCCTCGAACTCACAGAGATCCGCCTGCCTCTGCCTCCCAAGTGCTGGGATTAAAGGCGTGCGCCACCACCGCCCGGCTAACAATGAGTTTCTTATCTGCCTGCATCCCTTGAGTGCTGGGATTACAAGTGTGGTGTGGTCCACCATGCTTGCTTTCGTTTGCTTATTTGTTTTAGGGAGGCCCTCCCTAAGTTGACCAGGCTGGCCTCAAACTCACAGAGATCCACCTGCCTCTGCCTCCCAAGTGCGTGAGCCATCACAGCCAGCAGGGATGGATAATCTTTGATGTGGGAGACTCTGTTTCTTGAAGAATCAGTAATATCACCCCTGCCTTCTTTCTACCCACTAGCTGCTTGTAGCATCAGGGGTCCTCTTGGTTTAATGGAACCCAAACTATCCACAGGCACTGAGGAATACTTAAGATGTGAAACTGCCCTGACTGAGGACCATGGATTTTACCCAAGGAGAGATTCTGAAATGTCTAGTTCTTCTGTGGTACCTTTTTGTTTTGTGTCTAGGTCTTCTGTGGTACCATTTTTGTTTTGTGTTTGTTTTATGTTTTTGTTTTTGAGACAGGGTTTCTCTGGGTAGCCTTGACTGACCTGGAACTCATTCTGTAGACCAGGCTGGCTTTGAACTCAGAGATCTGCCTGCCTCTGTCTCCCAAGTGCTGGGATTAAAGGTGTGTGGCACCACTGCCCAGCCTCTCTCACTTCTTTTATTAACCACAAAAATTAAATAGGGGTGAGAGGTTCCTGTGGGGTGCAGAACACTTTTGACTTAATGGAGATCTGGTTTTCCATGGGTGGAGTTATTTTATCATAACTATGAAAGAAGTGAGTCTTCACATTTGCACATGAAACAAAATTGGTTTTTAATTTAAAAAAATACATTTTATTTATTTGTGTGTGGGTGTATCATGGTGCAAATGTAGAGGCCAGAGGACAACTTGTGGGAGTTGGTTGTCTCTTTCCTCCAAATGGGTCCAGGAATTGTCAGGCCTGTTGGCAGCACCTCACTAAGCCATCTCAACCAACGACATGTAACAAAATTTTACTAGGAGATTTTGGTTTTATGTTGTTTATTAAACCTACCATTTTTACAAGTTTTTACATAGTTTTTTTTTTCTCTTGTGACAAGAGTCTCGCTATGTAGCCCTGGCTATGTAGCCCTGGAACCTGGGCCTCTGGAGAGACAGAGAGGTCAACTACCACTGTGTCAGCACTGCCTCAGCCTGTCCTGAAGTCAGAGGTCTCCTGGTTGAGTGGGTTCTCCCTCTCTGTCTATCTATCTATCTATCTATCTATCTATCTATCTATCTATGTATCTATCTATCATCTATCTTTTTCTCTCCTCATTATATGTAACCCAAACTGGCCTCACACTCACTATGTAGCGCAGGCTGCATCTGATTTTACTATACAGCTCAGGTCAGCCTGAGCTCATTGGGATTCCAGGCATGCACTACCATGCTCAGGCTTCTCTCTTCCATTGATGAGTTTGGGGCACATGAAGTACATCAGAAATCTTCTAACATGCCATTTCCTTCAAATATGAATGCCTTTCCAAGCACCAGTCTCTTTTCATTTTATTATTTATTTTTTGTTTACTTATTTACTTAATTTTTGAGAAGGTCTCAGTATGTAGTTCTGGCTGCACTGAAACTATGTAAACCAGATTGGCCTTGAACTCACAGAGATCTGCCTGTCTCTGCCTCCTGAGTGCTGATATTAAAGATGTGTACCACCATGTCTGGCCTGAGCACCAGTCTCTGGTTTCAATACCCTTCTCTCTCTTTTCCAGAAAGGGAAAATCCCTCATGTCTAATCCCAACTGAAGTGTCACCTGCTCTAAGACAACCCTCTTATCACAAGATGTAACTTTGTTTTCCCTGAGAATCTGGTATACATGTCTTTTATAGTAATTCCATTATAGTTAAAACATTAAGGCACACGGTGGTGGTGATGCATGCCTTTAATCCCAGCACTCTGAGGCAGAGGCAGATGAATCTCTGTGAGTTTGAGGCCAGCCTGGTCTACATAGCAAGTTCCTGAACAGCCAGGCTACATGGAGAGACCTTGTCAAGCAAAAACAGCTTTGAAGAGATTGTGTTTATTTTAGCTCACACTTCCAGGTTACAGTCTTCACTGTAGGGAAGTCGAGGCAGCAGGAACTGGAAGCCGCTGGTCACATCACAGCCACAGTCGAGAGCAGGGAGAAATGAATTAATGTATGCATGCTTACTACTCAGCTCCCTTTCTCCATTCTTTCAGAGTCCAAGACCCAAACCCACGAGCGGTGCCACCCACAGTAGTCTGGGTCTTCCCACATCAAGCCCACAGGCCAACTTGACAGGGAGGGATTGTCTAGCCCCTCACTGAGATTCTTCCTAGGTGATCCTAGGTTATCAAGGTGACAGTTAAAACTAACCATCACATTTCCCAAAGGAACATACTGTCAAATTGCTGTCTAAATATTTATGTTCAGGGGCAGTGAGGTGACTCAGTGGGTCAAGGTGCTTGTCCCCAAGCTCGATGGTCTGAGTTCTATCCTTGGGACCTACATACGTGGTAGAAGGTGAGAACTGAGTCCTCTGGTTGTCCTAACACAAACTAAATAAAAACATTTAAAATGTTAAAGTACTTATATTTATACTCCTAGATTAATGTATCTCTTAGCCTAGGGCAGAGAAGCTCCTTTTTTTTGTACAGATTCATTTTTTAAAAAAATGTACGGAGATGCCGTAGAGCCAGGAGAAAGGCGGGAAACCATGCAGTGGCCATGACCGACCATAGAGAGATACCTCCTTCTGAGACCTCCGAGTGTCCTAGAGAGGAAGCGGACCCGGGCCCTTTCCATAGGGCACCTGCCTGACAGCATCCGCCACCTACTTCCGGTCCGCGCAGGCCAAGGCAGGTGCTGAGCGCGCAATCAGTCAAGGCCGTGGCCCGGTCCGGGCGGGTGGGGACGGGGCTGTTTGCAGCTGGGCAGGGCAGCTGCGGCCCGGAGGTCGCATCTCCACGCACAGCCGTGGTCTCAGGTAAGATTCACGCGGGTCGCGGCCGGGCCAGGCAGGGAGGGTGGGGGGAGCTAACACAGGGTGTCCAGGATCCCCGGGAAGACCTTGACCCTGCCACTCTGAAAAGCGCCGCTAAGCGTTTTAGACGCAGATGCAGGACAGTCCTTGGAAGAACGGCCACGCGGCACCTTCTGTCTGCCAGAGGCCCGCGTGGAAAGATCCACGCGGGCCTCTTGCCCCCAGGGCACCGGCGGACCGAGCTAGGCAGTAGCGCGGACTTTTGAGAAAGCTCGATGCAGCAGGGACGAGTAATGTAGACAGAAAAATGAGGAGTCGGTTTAAGGAGCGGGTTGAGAAAAACGCAAACATCCAGAAGAATCTGTAGCAGAAGGTCGTGGCCTCTCGCCGCTACTTGCGCCAACAATCTGAGCGCCTTACTGCTTGGGGTTTGGGGCCTGTTTCTCCAGCCTGCCCGCCCGGAAGTAAACAAGATGCAGTTTGCTGCCTGCTTTGCAGCCTCTTTCCTCGGGAGTAATGTTCGTTTCTCACCGTTATTCCTTTCCTCCTTTTTTTTTTTTTCTTCTCCCTCCTGCCCTCCTTTTTTCCTCTCCATTTTTTCCAGCTGTGTAGCCAGATTGGCCTGGAACTCACCATCTCCAGCCTAAGCCAGGTACCAGGATTTCAGGCAACTACCGCCATGGTTGTTCATTTTTTTTTTTTTTTTCCGAGACAAGGTCTCACTGTGTAGCTCTGACTGTCCTGGAACTCACTATGTAGATCAGGCTGGCCTTGAACTCACAGAGATATGCCTGCCTCTTCATCCCAATGCTGAGATTAAAGATGTGTGTGCCTCTACGTCTACTGGTTCTTTCTTTTTTAAAATATTTTTTTATTTTATGTGTATAGGTGGATTTTTTTTCCCCTACATATATGACTATGTACCAAGTAAGTGCCTGGTGCGCACAGTGTCCAGAAGACACAACAGATCTTCTAGAACTGGACTTAGAGATGGTTGTGAGCCACCGTGTGTGCTGGGAACTGAACCTGGGTCCTCTGCAAGAGCAGCAGGTGCTCTTAATCACCGAGCTGCCTCTCTAGTCCCATCTTTCTTCCTTTTAAACCTTCCGTGTTTTGGGAGGGAGACAGCTATATAGGCTGCTTGCGTATTCTCTCTGTGTCTCAGCTTTTACCTATTCTCTTGACATTTTTGGACACGCGAACAACGTATCTTGACTATGCCTACCCTAAGCCCCCCTCCCCCCCCCCCCTGCTCCTCCCAGGATCACCCATACATCTCAGTCCCATTTGCACGTCCTCTTCTCTTTTGTTGGAATGCTGCTGACTGCTTTTACTGGCTTGGTCCTGTGCAGGTCTTGTGCAGGTGACCACGGCTGCAGTAAGTGCATGAGTGCCCTGCCTATGTCACGTGCAGAAGACAGCACTTCAGGGGACTCCTGGCCATCTTCCGGCTCTTACGTTCTTTCTGTCCCTCTTCTGCTATGTTCCCTGAGCCTTGGCTGTGTAGAGGTGTTGACACAGATGTTCCGTTTAGGGAGGAACACTCAACAGTCACTTAGTCTCAGCCCTTTGACCAGTTGTAAGTGTCTGCATTAACTGTGAGCAGAAAGGCTTCCCTGACCAAGCCTGAGAGCAGCTCTAATCTATGGGTGTAAACGTAAGTATTTAGAAGGTGGTTTGGTACCACGTCTATTTCAGCAAAACCACAGTAGTGGGTTCTCCCTTAGGCCCGTAGTCTCCCTGCCTGTGGGTTTTTGACCAGGTTTACAGTACCAGGCATGAATTCCCTCCTATAGAGCAAGCCACAAATCCAGTTAGAAAGGAATTGGTTACCTCCATAACCTTCATCACTATAACACCAGGGGACATCTTGTCTGGCAGGTCATTCTTCATTATAGCAGGAAGCTTCGCTACTGGGTAATACCAGCAATGATGACTTTTCTCCTCCAGTGGACCATATAGCACATTCCAGCACTATGAAAACTAGAGAATAGGGAGGAAATTTCAGGTCAGTTCCAGCTTGATTTCTCTGGGCCCTGCAACCAAAATGTATTGGGTCTTCAGCAGCTGACTTTACATCTAGTTACATGGGCATTCAAGAGCAGTGGCAATAGCCCATGTGGCATTGTCTTTAGACTGAGTGTACTGTCACAGTCAAGCCACTAATGCATTGGTTAGTTTTGACCTCAAAGTTTGTCTGCATCATTGTCTCCACCGGGACTAACCTAAGCCTCAGGTCAGCTGGTAGGATTTGAGGATATACGTCAGCTTCCTGAGAACAGTCACTAGTGTAGACACAGAACTGGATGGGCTGACTCGTGTGTCTTCTGTTCTCAGAAGGGCCCTCTCTGTTGTCATCCTCAGTCTTGCTGGAGCTTGAAGATGCTGAAAGAGCGTCTGGAGATGGCAGAAGATCCTCAGCAGCAGATGGGTGCTCCAGTGGTGAAACTGGAGAAGGAGCTGCCATGGGGCCGGGGAGGGGAGGACTCAAGTCCTGAGGCATTCCGGCTGAGGTTTCGGCAGTTCCGCTACCAAGAGGCTGCTGGTCCCCAGGAAGCTCTCAGGGAGCTCCAGGAGCTCTGTCGGCGGTGGCTGAGGCCGGAGCTGCACACCAAGGAGCAGATCCTGGAGCTGCTGGTGCTGGAGCAGTTCCTCACCATCCTGCCCCGCGAGTTCTACACCTGGATCCGAGATCACAGCCCAGACAGCGGCAAGGCTCTGGTGGCCATGGTGGAGGACCTGATGGAGAGCACACCTGAGGCCAAGGCGGTGGGTGAGAAGAGGGTGTCCAGGCCTTGCACGGTTGGTGTGGGAATCAGAAGTGGAGAGCTTAAGGAAGTGTTGGAGTGGATGAGACATAGAGCCTGCTCCATCATCCCCCAGCCCCCAAGGGCCTTTCTGGAGAGTGGCTGCAATTTTAGCAACAAGAGTCGGGGTGAGGAGATGGCTCAGTGGGTGAAGAGCTTGCCACGCAAGCGTGAGAATCCGGGTTCGGATCTCCAAGACCCATGGAAAAGCCACATAGGCCGTGTGCATGTGTAATCCCAGTGGTGAGATGGTAGGCAGAGAAAAGAGAGCCCCATAAGTTTGCAAGTCCAGGTAGCCAGGCATCCTCAGCAGTGATCAGCAGGAGTCCCTATTATAAGGTGGAAGGTGAGAACCAGCACTGGAAGGTGTGCTCTGATCTCCACACATGCCCATACTCACATACATGAACACACACACACACACACACACACACACATCATATACACATGTAGAAGACTTTTTTTAAAGAGCCATCTCTAGGGAAGATATCCACGGGCAGGAGGGCATGATGCCTTGGTTTGGGCATCAGGGACTCCCTGGAGAGCCTCAAATCCAAAAAAGCAGTTTTGATGGTTTTCGGGGTCCACTGTGAGCTCTGCATGCTCTTGGGGAAGAGGCTAATGCCTGTCCTTCTGCTGGTGGCAACTGGGATTCCTTACTCACCTTTAGGAATCTCCGCTCAGGCTAGCCAGATTTGGGCTTCACTTTGTTGCAGAAAGGAGTTTTAGGAGGAGCGGAGTGGGGTGTATTACAAGATAGTTTTAGGGGTTGGGAGATGGTTCAGTGGATGAAGCATCTGCTATGAAAGGATGAGGACTGGAGTCGTGTTTCCAGCTCCCACACAAATGCTGGGTAAGCATGATGGTCCACCTGTAATCCACTCAGGAGATGGAGTCGGCATCCTCTGAGTGATCTGGCTCGGTGGACGGTGAAATCAGCAAGCAAGAAATCAGGTGACAGGCTTGGCTTAATCACATAAGGCCCAGAGTGATAAAGGAAGACACTGAGGTCACCCATTGTCCTCTACATATGCATGCACATGCATCCACACACATGCACAGATACCACACATACCCATGCCAAAAAAAAAAAGGTATTTTAAGTATCTTTAAAATTTTTATTTTATTTTATTTTATTTTATGTGTGTGGGTGTTTTGCCTGCAAGTATATCTGCAGCATGTGCATGCAGTGCCTCTGGAATCCAGATCCCCTAGAACTGGAGTTATAGCTAGTTAGTAGCTGCCTTGTGGGTTCTGCAAATTGAGCCAGGGTCCCCTGGAAGAGTAGTCAGTACTCTTAGGTGCCATCTCTCCAGCCTTAAATAAATATCTTTTTTGTTTGTTTGTTTTTTTGTTTTTGTTTTTGTTTTTCAAGACAGGGTTTCTCTGTGTAGCTTTGCGCCTTTCCTGGATCTCGCTCTGTAGCCCAGGCTGGCCTCGAACTCACAGAGATCCGCCTGCTTCTGCCTCCCGAGTGCTGGGATTAAAGGCGTGCGCCACCACCGCCCGGCTAAATAAATATCTTAAGGCCAGGAATTAACAGAGAAGTGCTCACGTTTTTGGCTCACAGATTGTGGGGAAAGTGTGGTGGCAAGAGGGTGAGACAACTGGCCACATTACATCCCCTTCAGGAAGCAGTGGGAATGCTGGTGCTCAGCTCACTTTCTCCTTTTTGTTTTAAAGATGAAAACATTTACTTCTTTTTATTGTGAGTCTCTGTGTTAGAACGTGCACATATATTCAGGTACCCACAGAAGACATTGAATCCCCTGGAGCTGGAGCTACAGATGGTTGTGAGCTGCCCGGTGTGAGCACTAGAAACCAAACTTAGGTGCTCTGCACGAGCAGTGTGTGCGCTCAGATGCTGAGCTCTCCAGCCCCCACTTTCTCCTTTGATTCTTTGTGGGACTTCAGCCCATGGGATAGTGCCACCTGGATTAAGGTGGGGCTTCCCACCCCACGTAACCAAATCTAGACACATGTCCCCCACAGGTATGCCTAGAGGTTCGTCTTACAGGTGACTCCAGAACCTGTAAAGTTGATGATCAGTATTAAAAACTGTGGGGGGCGGGGGGGAGAGAGCCAGGGCCTCATTTCCATGAGAACGCCGCTGCAATGTTCCACTTTGTAGAGCAGCTTTCTCATTTGCTACTTCATTTTGGGAGAGTTTAGCTTTCTTCATGTGGAAGAGGTCAGCAGCTGTCTTTCCTCATCCTCCCACACTCTCTCTTATACCGTCCCTCCCTTCCCCTCTCTCCTCCTCTCTTTTCCCTCTCTTCTTTCTACCTTTTTGGTTTTTTTAGGTAAAAAAAAAAAGCAGGGTCTACTATGTAACCCTGGTTGACCTGTAATTCACTAATTAGACCAGGCTGGCTTTGAACCCAGAGAGAGAGAGAGACCTTCCTCCCTCTACTGAGTGCTGGGATTGCAGGCTTGACCATTATCCTGGGTTTATGTGGTGCTGGGGATGGAACCTAGGACTTCAGGGCTTCTTGCATGCAGGCAAGCACGCTACCAACTGAGTCACACCCCCAGCCTTGCTTCCTTTCTGTTTTAATTCAGCTCTCTTTTTAACAGTTTCCAGCAGGTCTCCTTCTAATTGGTATGGGCATTCTTCTTCTTAGGTTCCATGCCATGCCCAGGGAGAGCAGCTGGTCACAGCCCTTGGCGGAGGATCTTGGCAATCAAGCATCCACTTGGGGCCAGTAGAAGTCAAACCTGAGTGGGGGATACTTCAGGGGGACGGAGTTCAAAGCTTAGGCCCAAGCACTGCAGAACAGCTGAGCCAGGGCCCTGGAGACGGGACACAGGCCTTCCAGGAGCAAGGTAAGATGCTAAGATGCAGGTGGTGAGGATGGAAGGTCCCGTCCACCCCCAGTCTCTTCAGAAACTCAGCACTGGGCTAAGTAGGCGCTGGTAAGGTATAATTCTGAATTCCAGGCTGCCTCCTCTACCCCGGTAGGAAGCAGATGGAATGGTTCTTTACACCTTGACTAGTTTTTTCAAGGTATATCTAGAATCATGTTCTCTCATCATTTTTTTCTCTTCCCCTCATCCCTTCTAGAACCACTAGGAACTATGCTGATGATAAGTAGGGAGATAGACCACACCCACATGAGACTTCATTATTCCTGAATCTCAGAGAGCTGTCCTCATGAGTGACTCTGGACTGTGTCTAACTCTGAGGGGACAGGGCTGGGACAGTCCTTTCAGCCAGAACAGGGCAGGGGACACCCAGACTCCTGACTGTGGGTCATTATGGTCCTGAAGTAACCCTTTTATTTAATTTTTTTTACATTTCTTTTCTTTTTTTTCTTTTTTTACATTTCATCTTTCTCTGTGTAGCCCTGGCTGTCCTGGAACTCACTATGTAGACCAGGCTGGCCTCGAACTCAGAGCTGCCTCCCTCTGCCTCCCGGGTACTGGGATTAAAGGTGTGTGCCACCACTGCCTGACCCTGAAGTAACTCTTTGTGATCTTTTGTTCTGAGATTGTGTGTGTGTTGGGTGGGGTGCTTTTGAATTGGTGGACGACAGCCCTGATCCTTCTGTGTGTTCTGCTCAGCACTGCCCATTCTTCATGCGGGTCCAGGTCTTTCCTCTGTGAGCACCAGAGACCAAGAACTTGCTGCCGGGTTCCTTGCAGCAACATCCCAGGTGAGCTAATTTACCTGTTTTGGAGATTTTGTTGAATTTATTTTTTGAGACGGGGCCTTATGTAGCCCAGGCTACCCTCAAACTCAATGTGTAGCTGATGGGGCCGGAGGGATGGCTCAGCAGTTGACAGTGTTTCCTGTTCTTCCAGAGCATACAAGGTAGGCTTCCAGCGTTCATGTCAGGTGGATTGCAGCCTCCTGTGGTTCCACTCGGGGGCTCTTTTCTGTCCTCCCTGAGGACTGCACATGTGTGTGTGTCTCTCTCACACACACATAAAAAAGTAGCAGAGGATGTCTTTATGCTCCTGATCTTGTGTTTCCACACCTGAGTGCTGGGATTCTGGACCTGCGGCACCACATCTGGTTTGGACGGAATCCAGGGCTTTAGACATGCTAGGCAAACACTCTACCAGCTGATCCTTATTCCTAAGCACCATACTCCATTTTGTTTATTTAACATGACTTTATTCTTCAAAAGTTAAAATTTATTATTTATCATCATTGTATGCATGTGTATACGATGGATATGGGGGTGTTCGTCCCAGCCCATGTGTGGAGGTCAGAGGACAGCTTTGTGTGGTTGTTTCTCTGCTTCTGCCTTTATGTGGATCGTCAGGCTTTACCTACTGAACAGTTCTTTAGGAAAAACATAACCTTCAGGTGGGGCCTGAGGGGACACACAGGCTTCCAGGCTCAAGCTTGAAGAGGGAGAGCAGGTGCATCTGGATGCTGAGGTGGTGGGGGCAAGCAGAGCCACAGCAGCAGGATGTGAGCGTGTTGGCCCCCGCATTAAAGCTGTTGGGAGATGGCAGTTCTCCCAGTTTGTCCAGGGTCCCGTCCTTCTGTTGTTGCTGTGCTTGAGCCTAGCTTTGAAGCTCCTGGTAGAGTGCTCCACCGTTTTTTGAAAATGTGTTTAGTGTATGTGTGACAGGGCTGTGCCACAGTGCTCATGTAGAGGTCAGAGGGCAGCTTGCTGGAGTCAGGTCTCCCCTTCCATCATTTTCTTTCTAGAAATTGAACTGTGTTCATCTTGCTTGCTTGGCAGCAAGCACCTTAACCCACTGAGCTCTTTCCCCAGCTCTAGTTCTTACTTTTTTCTCTTAATTTTATTTTTTTAGGTATATGAATGTTTTTTCTGTATGTATGTATATATGTGCATCACATGTGTGCCTGGTGCACTCAGAGTCCAGAAGATGGCATCCGAACTGTAGTTACAGGCTGTTATTAGCTATCATGTGGGTACTGGGAACTGAACCCCAGTCCTCTACAGGAGCAGCTTTCTGTATTTACAGCAATCTGTTGTTTCAGGGTCTGGGGCCATTTAAAGACATGACTCTGGCTTTTCCTGAAGAGGAATGGAGGCACGTGGCCCCAGCTCAGATCGACTGCTTCGGGGAGTATGTGGAATCACAGGACTGTGGGGTCCTCTCAGGTAAGACTGTCTCCTGCACAGGTGAGAAAGGGGGAGTTTTGAAAGCTGCAGTTTAAGAGTCTTACCCTAGCCATGGTACTGCTGACGGTAGTGTGGAGAGTATGGGCCAGTCTTGGAGAAGTGTGCCCGTGACTAATGGGCATCGAGGACTGGAAGAAAGGAAAGGAGCAGAAGAGGAGCGTTTGCTCTGGTTCATCCAGCAGGTGGTTATTGAACACTCCCTGCATGCAGGCCCTATATGGCAGCTTTGTGTTGGGACAGGGAGTATGCTGGATGAGAAAATACAGTGTGTGTGTGTGTGTGTGCATGTGTGCATGCACACATGGTAATACATGTAAGTGAGGGCTAACTGACTACATCAATGTAAAAGAGGCCAGGGGAAGAGAATCACCAGGTGTGCTCTTCATGGAAATCACTGAGTTAGATTTGCTCATGCCCAGAGGAAGGAATAGGGTATCCGGTTTCCCCCCTTGTCACTCTGCCTTATTCCTTTGAGACAGGGTCTCTCCCTAAACCTGGAACTTGACTTTTTCAGCTAGACGGACAGTCCTAGTGATCTTCCTGTCTCTGCAACCCACAATGGTGGTGTTACAGGCATGCATGAGACCACACTGGGCTTGTTCTATGCATGCTGGGATCTGAACTCAGGTCCTCTGGCTGTACAAGTGGTCTTAACCACTGAGCTATCTCTCCCGCCCCACTGAATTAGAGTTTGAAGGAAGTAAAAGTCTGAATTAGCAGAACGTTAAGTGGGAGGATATTAAAATCTGTCATGCAATCCAGTATCAGGGCAGGGAAGTGGTAAGGAGTAAAGAAATGTCAGAGTTCAGGGTTCATGGATGTGAAAGGTGTTGGGGTTGTTGACCAAAGGAAATGAAGAGGAACCGTTAATAGGACAAACCTAAGCTGGGTATGGTTATGCAGGCCTGTGACTCCTCCTTCAGGATTGCGAGTTCAAGGCCAGCCTGAGTTACAGAGTGAGACCCTATCTCAGCAAGCCAAACCATCACCACCACCAAGATAAAGGGATGCATTTGGAGGAGACGACATAGTGCATGAAGTCCCTTTGGTGGTCACTATTAGAAAGAGAGGAAGGCAGAAAGGAAGTGAGAGGAGGCTCCTTTCAGACATGCCTGTCCAGCAGGGCCACAGCGTCCCAGTGGGAGAGCTGGCCTTCAGGTCTGAGGAGGGGCAGCATTACAGAGAGCCGTAGACAACATGATGGAGCCTGAAAGCATAGGCAGCCATGGGGGCTTAGAGAGGAGAGATGGCGGCCTGTAGGTCTCTCTGTTCCTCTCAGATCCCCACAAAGAAGTAAGTTTGTTTTTTCTCGGTGTGGGAGATGGTGATGGGAAACTTGACCTAGCCCATATGGCCCCTGGCATGCAGGAAGCCCTAGATAAGAGTGTAAAGTTAGTACAGGAGAGCAGCAGTTGGAGGGTCTGTGCTGGAGCATCACCCCAGTGTTGACCTCCTTTGCCACACAGGTGCTGGGAACAAGGACAAGGAGGCCAAACCCCAGCAGGAGGACCTGAAAAGAGCATTTGTTGGGTTGACTTCCGATGGGTTTGGAGAAGCTGCCATCCAGGTTCCTGGCCCAGGGGGTGCCTGTGAGCAGGAGCCTGGGGGCTCTGGGGCCAGTTTACCTGGGCTCCCCGTTCCTCAGCATGGGGTCCCCCTGCCGGATGCCCTCAGTACCCACAGTTCTTTCTGGAAGCCTTTCCAGTGCCCTGAGTGTGGGAAGGGCTTTAGTCGGAGCTCCAACCTTGTCAGGCACCAGCGAACCCATGAAGAGGAGAAGTCCTTTGGCTGCGTTGAGTGCGGGAAAGGTTTCACCCTGAGGGAGTACCTCACCAAGCATCAGAGGACCCACCTGGGCAAGAGGCCCTACGTGTGCGGTGAGTGCTGGAAGACTTTCAGCCAGAGGCATCACCTGGAGGTGCACCAGCGCAGCCACACGGGGGAGAAACCCTACAAGTGCTCAGACTGCTGGAAGGGCTTCAGCCGCAGGCAGCACCTGCTGGTGCACCGCAGGACACACACCGGCGAGAAGCCCTACACCTGCGAGTGCGGCAAGAGCTTCAGCAGGAACGCCAACCTGGCAGTGCACCGGCGCGCGCACACTGGGGAGAAGCCCTACGGCTGCCAGGTGTGCGGCAAGCGCTTCAGTAAGGGGGAGCGGCTGGTGCGGCACCAGAGGATCCACACGGGCGAGAAGCCCTACCACTGCCCCGCCTGCGGCCGCAGCTTCAACCAGAGGTCCATCCTCAACCGGCACCAGAAGACCCAGCATCGCCAGGAGCCCCCGGTGCAGTGAGCCTACCGTGCGTTGGCTCTGCCTCCGGGGCGACTTCATTGTGACAGGTGGCCTGGCGGTGCCCAGTGAGGGACAACAGAGTGTGTTCGAGCAAGAGGAGGGCAGCCTGGTGTGTGGAGAGCTTCCACAGGGACCAGTTTCCTTCACCTGTTGTAGGGAAACAATCCTGAGCTTCAGTTTTTGTTTTTTTCCTCCCACAGTGGGGTTTGAGAACCCACCTCCTGAGCAAGTTTGGAGGTAAGGGCAGAATTTTGTTGCATTTTGGCAGCTTGAAGCTCTTTTTCTCTTCTTTTTGAGGTAAGGCCCCATATTATCTAAGTTGGTTTCACACTAGCTGTGTAGCTGAAGATGGTCTTGAACTTCTGATCCTCCTGCCTCCATCTTCCCAGTGCTGAGGTGACAGGATGTGCCACCATGCCTGGTTCTGCTATGTTGGATATGAAACCAGGGCTTTGTGCATGCTAGGTAGGGTACTCTACTGACTGAGGTATGTGTCCAGCCTTGAAGCTCAATTTTTAGAGAGCTCTGTCTTGCCCGCGAGGTATTAGCTCTGGCCTGCCCTGCCTCCGTCTTTTTCATTTTCAAATATTGATTAAGCACCTATTGTGCTCTTGGCTCTGAGACTGCCGCGGTGATCTGAACCAGTGAGATCTTGGCACTTGTGAGCAAAGCCAGAGCAGTAGCTTGTAAGTATCCCAAAGCACATGTTGTTTCAAGTGCCACATCAGAACCTGGGCACACTGCTGTGCCAGCCTGTCCTGTGTGGGGTCTCACATGCCCTCCACCTCAGGTGGGGACTTCTCTCATGCAGTCTTGTTTATTTTGCTTTCTTGGCAGCCTTACTGTCGTGGACTAGAACATTCTACCCTCATCTGTAAAGTCTCCCCCCTCCCATTACTCCTTGCACTGTAACCACAGCTACTAGGAAATTAATATTTTGCTACTGATCATTGAATAAACGTGAAAATATTTTAAGGCAGTTAGTGGCTTCCCTGAAAATACCTGATGAATGAATCTGAAAGACAAACTAGTGTTGATGCCCTATATTTGAAGGCTCTTTAGGGTATATAATACCTCTGAGAGAGTGAGAGTGAGGGGTGTGTGTGTGTGGTGTGGAGATTGAACCTGTGGCCTAACATACTGAGGCAAGTATCGTGCCGCTGAGCTGTATCCCCAGCTATACCCCTCCCCCTTTTTTGGTTTTTCGAGACAGGGTTTCTCTGTGTAGCTTTGCGCCTTTCCTGGAACTCACTTGGTAGTCCAGGCTGGCCTTGAACTCACAGAGATCCGCCTGGCTCTGCCTCCCGAGTGCTGGGATTAAAGGCGTGCGCCACCACCGCCCGGCTCCCCTCCCCCTTTTTAAAAGTTAATTTTGAGGCAAGGTTTTGATGAGTTGCTCGGGCTGGCCTTGGAATTGGTTTGTGGGTCATGCAAGCTTTGAACCCTCCGGCTCCACCCTCTGGAGTATCTGGAACTCCACATCTGCTCCACCAGGCTGGCCCTCTTGGTTCTCATCTCATTCATCCTGTAAGCGTTGAGGTACTGCAGTGTGGCAGGAGTGTTCTGTAAACTTAGGATGCATCAGTCAGTCAAACAGGACTGTCTCTGAGCTTGGGTTGGAGAGATGGTTCAGTGGATAAGGGAGTTGCTACTCTTGCAGAGGACCCAGGTTTGGTTCTGGCAGCTCACACCAGGCTGTAACTGCAGCTCCACGGGACCCAACACACTCTTCTAGGCTCCTGTCTTCTAGCCTCTTTGGGCACCTTCACTTATATATACAGACCTCCCATGAATATGAACATAATTAAAGATAAATCTTTGCAGGCTGGAGAGATTGTTCAGCCATTAAGAGTACATACTGCTCTTTCAGAAGACCTGAGTTTGATTCCCAGCACCCACATTGAATAGATCAGTACTTCCTGTGACTCCAGCTCCATGGGATCGGACAACCTCTTCTGGCCTCTGCACACAAGTGCATACCCACACAGAGACACATATACATGTAAATAACATTTTTAAGAAATCTGTGAGCTTGCAGGACTCACGTCTTAGTGGGGGAACTTGATCTTTGAGCCTGTGAATAGCCCGTGAATCCTGGGTCTGAGGATTTTGTTGTTGTGTTTTTAAGATATGGTCTCACTATGTAGACCAGGCTGGCCTCCAACTTAGATATGACTGCCTTTGCTCCTCGAGTGCTGGGATTCAGGGTGGGGTTTAAGCCCTGTCAGCTTCTTGCTCCTGAGTTACATTTCCCACTCACCTTATGATAGTAGTCCCTCTCCTCCAGTCATTGGATTCTCGTCCTCTGAGACATTGAGGGGCGTGAATACCAACTCTTCTAGTTTCATTTCTTATAGCAATCATATAACTTGACCAAAAAACCCAAACCCTTAGGGGAAAAAGGATTTCTTTTAGCTCACGGCTCCAGGTTGTAGTCAGTTACTGTGGGGAAGTCCCAGTAGGAGCTGGAAGCCGTGTTGGTTGCATCACAGTCAAGGTGAGAGGGCTGGAGAGGGGATGTAGTGGTTGAGAGCTGCTCTCAGAGGAGCAGAGTTTGGGTCCCACCTCCCATGTTGGGTGGTTCGCAACCACCCCCAACTAGCTCCAGGGGATCCAATGGCCTTTTTTGGCTTTTCCAAGTACCTTACTACACACATAGGCATGCATGCACGTGAGATTTTTTACAAATCTTAAAAAATAAAGAGCAAGTGGCAGGAGGATCTCTGAGTTTTTGAGGCCAGCCTGGTCTACAGAGTGAGTTCCGGGACAGTCGGTCTCGAATCCCTGTCTTGAAAAACAACAAAAACAGATGCGGGCCTGCCTCTGCCTGTTGTGCTTGCTCAGCCTCCTCATTCAGCACAGGCCCAGATTCCGCTGCGTCTTCCCACGTCAATTCATGAGTGATCAAGACAGTTCCCCACAGATAAGACTGCAGGCCAGTCCGATCTAAACTGTGCCTAGTTGAAACTTCCCAGGGGACTCTATACTGCCCGATTGACAGCTAGCACAGCAAGGGCAAGGTGAACCCCATTTGGCATGTGTGTGCTGGCTCAGGAAAGTTAGGTTGTCTGTAGGCATTAAAAGTGACAACCTGGGGCTGGAGCGGCAGCCTAGCAGGTAAACGTTTGCTGTGCAAGCAGAATGACTGGAGTTCAGATCCCTAGTACCCACATAAGAGCCCAGTGGGCATGGCTGCTCTGGCTGCCTGTAATCCCAGGTTGCAGGAGGTGGGGACGGGTCAGGTCCTCAGAGCAAGCTGGCTAGCCAGACTAGCTAAAATAGCCAGCTCTGTGTTTATGGAGAGGTCCATCCCAATATACAAGGTAGAGAGAGGGAGACGCTTGGGCCTCTACATGCACACATGTGAACACCCAGACACCACATATGTAAGCAAAAAAGACTGTAACTATGTTTTCTTGTATTAATTTACTGGCATGAAAGGACTTTCCTGCTGTTAAATTCTTCAAGTGTGTGTGTGTATGCACACGTATGCACATGCACACAAGTGTACTCACATGTGCACAGTTGCCAAGGTGTACATGTAGAGAGGTCAGAGGACAGTTTGTGGGAATTGAACTCGCTGATCGTCAGGCTTGGTGGCAAGCGCTTTTACCTTTTGAGCCATTTTTCTGCCTCTTTTCATGAGTTTGAGATCTGTAAACAGCATGGATGTCCCTGTGCGTGGCTTAGACTGGGCTGCTGAGACAATGTTGTTGACTGCGCTGGTGTAATTGCAGCTGTAGTCTTGCTCGGGGAACCTCCTGATATCTTTTTACCGAGACTCCCTGTTCCATTTGGCATTATAAAAAAGGTAAGTAGGGGCTGGGGAGATGGCTGAGTCAGGAAAGCATTTGCTGTGCAAGCCTGAGGACCTGATGAGTTCAGTCCTCGGAACCCATGTAAACCTCAGTTTGGTGGACCTTGCTGACCAGCCAGCTTAGCTAATAGGTGAGATCCAGGCTGGTGAGATGCCCTGTGTTAAAATACAAGCTGGGTTCGTTCCATGAGGAGGGACCCCTAAGGTTAACCTCTGGCACATGCACATGTATCCCTACACATACGAATGTGTGTGTACATACATACAACAAAGATACATGATAATGACTAACAGGGTTACATGTGATTTTATTTTCCATTTCTTGGCAAGCAGTCATGACATTTAATTTTTTTAATTATTTGTGAGTCTGTGTGTGTGCTGTGACGTGTGTGTGTGTGTGTGTGTGTGTGTGTGTGTGTGTGTGTGTGTGTTCACATGTGTACATGTGTACTGTGATATTATTCCTGGGAAGATGTCAGCTAATGTCTACTCACCCCAGATAGGAAACCAACAATAGACCAAAGTACCAATACCACCAAGGTCCAACCTGACGAACAATTGGGTTTATTGGGGAGTTACATGGGGAGGGGTGACTTACAGGAACAGCAGCATCTCTGAAGCCCACCCCAGCATGGGTGAGGGATCATGAAGACTGACCCCTGGAGCTCACTGCAGGACTTGCAAGCAAGTTGACAGACTTCTCCTCTGCATTCCTTAAACTGATTCTGTAAGCTTGGGGAGGGAGGGCTTTTGTGAATCTGGTCGATTTCAGGGGCTTCCTGAGACTCATGAGTTGTTCAGTGGGTTTCAACCAGCTTCCCTTTAGAACTTCCTGAGTCTCAACAAGCTTCTCTCTCAGATGGCATGTTCCAGTTTGGAGGTGATTACTACACAACAGTGTGTGTAGGCACACATACTCCACAACACCTGCACAGAGGGCAGAGGACAACTTGTAGGAGTTGGCTCTTTCATTTTACTGTGAGTCTAATGGATTAGACTCTAGTTGTCAGGTTTGGTAGCAAGTACCTTTACCTAAAAGCCATTTCATCAGCACCATCAAATTTAAATTTTTTAATTAATTTTATGCATGTGTTTTTTTTCTGCATGTGTGTCTGTGTACCATGTATGTACCTAGTACCCTCGGATCCCTTGGAACTAGGGTTACAGATGTTTGTGAGCCACCATGTAGATGTTTGGAATTAAACCTGGGTCCTCTGGAAGAGTAGACAGTGATCTCAACCACTGAGCCATCTCTCCAGCCCCCCCCCCATTATTATTATTTTTATGTGTATGAGTGCTTTGCGTGTGTGTATGTGCACCACATGCATGTCTAGTGCCCATGGAGGCCAGAAGAATGCACCAGACCTCCTGGAGCTAGTGTTAGAGACTGTATTGTGCTGGGACCCAGGTCCTCTCTCTACAAGTGTAACAGCAAGTGCTCTTAACCACTGAGCAGCCTCTCCAGCTCCCATCATTGAATTTGTGTTCAGCAAACCCCATTCCTGTCTTATTAGCTGTGTCCACAGGTCTGTGTGAAGCAAATGCAGACTTTACGTGAGATGCCCACAGTTAGCAATGCTGAAGTCTGTGTACAGAGTCAGCTCTTTCTGTTCCCTATCTTAGACAGATTAGGCAGTGCTGGTGGCTCCCTGCCACCCAAGCCCAATGGCAGGTTCTGATGGCGGTGCTGAACTGGACCTAGGTATGACCTGCGTATTTCAAAGCCAGGTCGGTATCAGGGCTTTATATACTAAACATAATGGTTGTGGTTTTCTCTGAATGAATAATAATAACAATAAAAAATAATAATGTGTGTACACCAGAGGACAACCTTGGTTGTTGTTCCTCAGGTGGCCAGCCATCTTTTTTTTTTTAATAAAAAATGCATGTACTTTGTGTGTGTGTGTGTGTGTGTGTGTGTGTGTGTGTGTGTGTGTAGTTCAGAGGACAACTTGAAGTTGGTTCTCTCCTTCCACCGTGTGGGTCCTGGGCATAGACAAGTACCTTTACTGCTGAGCCATCTTGTCCTCATCTTGTTGAACAAAAATTTGTTTTTAAATTTATTTTTATGGGTGTATATATGTTTTGCCTGTCTTTATGTATGTCCATGTGTATGCCCGACACCTGTCCATGTGTATGACCTGGAGGTCAGAAGAAGACAT